CATTGATGATGTTACCTAGTTGGGTCATGAAACATCTGCAAGAAAATCACCAAGCTCAAAGAGCACCAAGGACCCCATAATCCCCCCCTCCTCTTCTTCTCTCACAAACCTTACTCCCTTCTAGCAGTGATGATGTTACCTAGTTGGGTCATGAAACATCTGCAAGAAAACCACCAAGCTCAGAGAGCACCAAGGACCCCACAATCTTCCCCTCCTTCCTCCTCCTCCCACAAACCTTTCTCCCTTCTAGCACTGATGACATTACCTAGTTGGGTCATGAAACATCTGCAAGAAAACCACCAAGCTCAGAGAGCACCAAGGACCCCATATTTCAACCCTGAGCTACAGATGTTCTCACTGATGTGACGTGTGAAGCAGGAGGTGGATGTGATCCAATTCCTTCCCTTCGTGAAAAATTCACTCCTGAGTTCTCCCCACAATTTCTTCATTTCATCAGCTTAACTTCGGAGCTGTTGGGATGGCAAATGGACCTATCTGAATTCAGACATAGTTGGGGATTTATAGCCAACTCCTCAAGAGTTCCTTGGGTAGATGAAGTGAGTGGCTGTCCTGAAGACATAAGTTTATTACAGGTACTGTAGTCCTTGAGTTATGAGCACAACTGAGATCAGGATTCCTGTTGCTAAGCAAGGTGGTTGTTAAGGGAGCCACATCTGATTTTACAAGCTTTTTTCTGCCACTGTTAAGTGAATCATTGCAATTGTTAAGCGAATCTGGCTTCCCCCATTGACTTTGCGTGTTGGAAATCAGCTGGGAAAGTGGCAAATGGTGACCCCATGATCCCAGGATGCCGCAACTATTGTAAACACATGCTGATTGCCAAGCGCCCAGATTTTGATTACCTGACCCTGGGAATACTGCAATGATTGTAAGGGCGAGGACCGGGTCCTAAGTCACTTTTTTCAGTTCCTAAATGAATGATTGTAAATTGAGGTTTGCCTGTACATTACTGGAAATGCTACCTTGGTTCCAGAGCTGCATACTTTACACCGTCCCACACAAACAAGAGGACAAGGTGGAATGCACACAGCAAACTAAGCTGTGAGTTCATTTACTGTGGTTTGTTAAGTTGCATATCGCTAGCTGGTTCTCATGCTCAGCCATAAACCATGGATTAACAGAATAACAGAGTTGGGAGGGACCTTGGAGGTCTTCTAGTCTAATGCCCTGCTCAAGCAAGAGACCCTGTACCGTTTCAGACAAGTGGCTGTCCAGTCTCTTCTTAAAAACTTCCAGTGTTGGAGCACCCACAGCTTCTGAAGGGAAGCCATTCCACTGGTTTATTGTTAGGAAATTAGGACATCTCTACATCTCTCTCAATCCTCTATCATTTATTCTATCTATCTATCTATCTATCTATCTATCTATCTATCTATCTATCTATCTATCTATCTATCTATCTATCTATCTATCTATCTATCTATCTATCTATCTATCTATCTATCTATCTAGATGTCATTATCTCCATCTTTATCTCTCTATCTCTGTCTCCACAAGCTGTTCCAGTTATAATGCATACAGATATAAACACTATGATTATACAGTAGTTTTGGGACCCCTTTCATTTCTACACCCCAAGTCTTCTCTTTTGCCTCCCTTACCTTAACCTGAAAAAGCCCTGTCAATCAGTGATATATATTTCTTCATTTACTAAAAGAATTTCAGTAGAGACGTGCAAACATTATAATCTGGCAAAACGTATATGACAGTACATTGATTAGCATGTTAATGTTTAAGGTGCAACATTTTGTTGCTCCTGTTGAAAATGCTTGATAGTCTGCAATCCTTTCTATTTCTTTTGGTGGTGATGAACTGCATTGTTAGGACAGAAGATCATCAAATTCACTTAACTCCACCTGTACACACCACTGCCATCCTGTGGAAATGTTCATTTTCTCCCCACATCCCTTAAGACCAGACTTGCCTCCACAGAAGCTGACTTGTTGAAGTTGCCAACTTATTGCCCAAGATGGAAAAATGAAGGCTGTAGACCACAGTTTCCTTCAGCCCTGAATTTCTTGTTTTATTACATGTTTTGTAAAATGGTCATTAAAGATACATCTCCTATCTTTTAAGAATCCAGATTCCCTTTTTCACTCCTTCTTCCGTTTAGCAGTAAACCATAAAAGCAGTTTTGAAATGATTCAAGAAAAACCACACGTCTAAATTTAGGTTCCCGGGGCAAATGTTTCCATTGTAATTTTCCCCCCTAAAAGACCCCCTGTAAGTTCATATTACATTTTTGCAACTGAATGTTTGAGTGCAAGTTTGCTTAACACATGCATGTCTGTAAGTATGTTTTGACCATCTCTCTTACCTTTTTCCTAATGTACATGTTTAGGTATAAACTGCATTGCCAAATTGTGAGGTGTGTGGGCATTGGAGGCTATGTTGCTTTGAGAAGCTTGAATCTACTCTTTTTTTCCCCTTTCCATTCAACCATGTCCAATTCTCCGAGACTATTTATTTTTGTGTTTGTTTGTAAAACGTATTGGTCGCCTATCTTACTTCAGGGTAACTGGGCGGCTTACAACTTTAAAAATATCTGGACAAATCCCTGCAGTTCTCTTAGCAAGGTTTTTCAGAAGTGGCTTTCCATTGCCTCCTTCCTAGGGTTGAAAGAAAGTGGCTGGCCCAAAGTCACCCCAGCTGGCTTTGTGCCCAAGTCAGGACTAGAACTCATGGTCTCCTGGTTTTCTAGCCTGGTGCCTTAACCATTACACCAAACTGGCTCACATTCAGTTTTAACAATAAATTATGTTAAATAATCTCCCCAGTACCACCAATTTTGATGTCAATCCAGACTTAGTGGCCACCTTTCTCCAAATTGGGAGAAAATGTAGTCCTAACACAGCAGTCCCCAACCTTTTGGGTGCCAGAGACTGGTTCCACGGAGGGTGGTTTTTCCACAGACTGTGTGTGTGTGTGTGTTTGTGTGCTGCCTGCATCCTCCACATGCATGGATGCGGTTTGCTTTATTGCACACTGGGGTTCCTGGCAGGTTGTGGACTGTCCAGGGCCCGGAGGTTAGGGACCCATGTCCTCATAGATCTGTGGTGTAGCAGACTGGAATGACTGAATTTATCCATTGGCAAGTTTGACTTAGTCTCTCCTTTTTTTTTTCTGGCATCTGGTTTGCCTGTAAACTCCTTTCTGATTTTCTGATTTCTTTTTCCAAGAATGCCATCCAAACCCCCTTATGGCTTTCCACTTGCCTTTGTACATATGAAAAGAAAAGAAAACATCATAATCAAGAGGAGAGCAGAATTTTGATAAGGGTTCTGTTTCTCCCCACACAATTTACCTTCCTCTCCACCCAGCATTTCCAGTTTTTACACGTTAACCTTTTCAGCCTCCTGGCATAGGAGCAAAATACAGTGTATTAAAATAGTCCCGTTTCATAGGATCACAATTTAAAGGGATGGTGAATCCCTGATTAATGAATGAAACAAACGGTTTAGTTTGGGTGGTCTCAAAGGCAATTGAATTGTTTTTTTCCTTGAGGAAGAAGAGAAAACATTTTGCTTCTCACCCAAGAAGCTTCATCAGTTCTGATGGAGGTGTGTGTGAGTGTGTGGGTGTGTGAGGGTGGAAGGATAGGTACTGAGAGTTAAGATTGGATTGGATATAAGAATAGGTTCTGATAGGATGGTGAGGGATGGAAGAATTACATTTCTTTGCACTCATCTGGTCGTTAGTACTCTCCCTGAGAGCTCTTGAGGCCACTTGGGGGTTTATCTGTGTCCTCAGGGTCACCTGAACTAGGTGAAATTAGTTGTGGAATCTTCTTGGAACCACTGCAAGTTCTGCATTATGGACTGGAGATGGGTGGTGTTCAATTCTAACACCGATGGATTCTGTTACCCCCTCTTTCAAACCAACGATCCTCTCTATCCAAAATGTGGACTTTCACTTCTTCCTCAAGGAAGCCATTTGTCTGAAATGGTATAGGGTTTCCTGCCACAGCAGGGGGTTGGACTAGATGACCTCCAAGGTCCCTTCCAACTTTATCATCATCATTATTATTATTGAGACAGTTATGATCTGGATGACTCTTCACAGATATTTAGTTTGGGTTCTGTATTTCTTACCACTGATCCCCCAGGACATTATAATGAGATTTTTTTTTTATTTGCTAACAATGGTGACAAAAAAACAAAATGGCCCATTTCATTTCCCCTAAATTCCTCATTGTGGTGACCATTTACAGATGTTCAGAAAAAGTTTGCACAGCGTTATGCGTTCTGTGCCTATTTCTCTGAAAGCACATCATTCTGTGTACTTGAATGGCTCTGGGGGTGGTGATATGTTTTTCTCCTTCCTAAGCTTTTTTCTGCATGCCTTTTATACCTGTATGCCTTTCCCCAGATTATTATTTTTTTAAAGTTACAAACTGCACCACAAGTTTCGAAAAGCGATGGAAATAATCTCCCTTCTACTTTGATCTCTCTTATCTGTCTGATGGATCTGAAACCATTAAATTCATGTAAGCAATTTGACAGAGCCTATTTCTTAAACTCTGTCTATAATATAGGATGATGTTCTTTTCCGTCCCTAAAGCATTTTGCCCAGTAAAAAAAACCAAAAACCACACATCTAATCTGATAATGTTTTCTTGAGGTTCAAAGAAATTAACATTGCTCATCGGATGTGCTCATGGATTTCCCCTTGAGGACCTCAGCTTCTCTGGCCCTCGCCTGATTCATTTTTAAGATTTGTTGCAAAACAAAAGCTCTGGGGTATCTGTGGCTGCAGCACACGCATCATAAACTAGGTTCCTACTTCAAGAAACAGGTTGGTTCCAGAACTTAATTCATTAGTTGTCCCATCAAGCCGTGGCCACATGGAACATCTGTTGTGAATCATCCTGAGTAGAACTTACATCTCACCCATCACCAACCCAACACAATCATTTTCAGCAGATCCAAGTCCATAAATCCAGCCCAGAATCATCAAGACTTGAGGAATCAAAACAATGGGAGATCTTCCGATATGGACCTCTGTGTATCATTGATTAGCTAAGAAGACAGAGGAGTCGCCAGGCTATCATTTTCAAGTCTTTGAGGCCGAAAGGATCGGAAATAGGCCATTAAAACATTTTCGCTTCTCTTCCCAACCTCCTCCTGCTCTTTGGCAGTGGAAACGGCAGTCCTGATGTTGTCTAAACGGATGAACCGGTGCAGGAAGGCAGCCCCGCTGTGTCGGAATAGCCTTTGCTGAAATTCTGATGTCATGAAATAGTAGAGAATTGGATCCAAGCAGCAATTCAGGCTTGCAAGGCACAAAGAAATGGAGTGGAAATTCAGAACTTGGTGACGGACCAAGCAGCTTCCAAAGACACCTTGTTTGACCATCATAAAGATCGGGAGGTTCACATGGTAGGGGGTGAAGCAGATGAAGAAGACGGCCGCACAGCCCAAGATCAGACGCCAAGCTTTCCGCCTCTCGTCAGCCTGTTGCAACGGAGCGTGGGGATCCTGCAGGGACTGCCTCATCTTCCACGTGCAGTAAAGGATTATTACAAGAGGGAGCAGAAATCCAGAGAGCTCAGCTACCACCATCAGTGCTACGGAGGCTGCCCTTGTTAACTGTTTGACTCCGAGGTCAGCGAAGCAGGTATTGGCATTGTTGGTTAAGCTAGGACTTCTCAGGATTGGGAGGGGCAAGCAAGCAGCCCCCACCACGATCCAGACCATAGCACTTACGGCAACATCATGTCTGTAATTCCAACTTTTGGTTCGGAAGGGATGAAGCAGAAAGAGATACCTCTGGATGCTGATGCAAGTGAGGAAGCAGATGCTGGCGTACATGTTGAGGTATTTCAGGTAGAAGCAGAACTGACAGAGGAAGCCCCCAAAGGGCCAGCTGTGGTTGATATAGTAGTACATCCTCAAAGGCAAGGAGAGGACATGAGCCAGATCAGCTGCGGCCAAATTCATCATGAAAATGGCTGCTTTGCTTTCCTTCTTGATGAAGCAACACAAAACCCACAGAGCAAGGCTGTTGCCCACCAGACCAGGGATGAAAATAATCACGTACGTCGCTGCATATAAGGAGGCCTGGAAACCCATGGAAGGATCGGAACAATTTTCGGAAGAATTGTCAGCCGGCATCTCTGTCCGGTCAGTGAAGTTCCTGAGCACAGTGGTGGCTGAGCAAATCCCTGTGAAGGACAGCAAAAGCAGAAGCAGACACTTATTTCCTTCTACAGAGAGACAGGTGAGAAAGGAAGGCTGCAGCCTTGAACACACATGCCACGTTCATTGGTCAAATCATATGGTCACTTCAGAAGAACCATAGAATCCTAGGGCTGGAAGGGACTTTGGAGGTCTTCTAGTCCAAACCTCTTCCAAACCAAGAATCTATCGGATCTGCCACAACTTAAATCTCTAGATAGAAACGATCCTTGGCTCCATTTGTTGAGAAAGGTATAGTTCAGTGGTGGCGAACCTATGGCACGGGTGCCAGAGGTGGCACTCGGAGCCCTCTCTGTGGGCACACATGCCGTTGCCCCAGCTTTGCCTCTGCCCGCGACCCCCTCCTCACCAGCAGCCTCCCTGGAGGAGAGTCGCCCCTGAGTGTGGCCCACACGGAGCAGCACAGCTAAGGACATGGCAGCCAGCTAGCGTAGACAAGACTCTGCCCTCACACCCCAACGGGCATAGTTGATGCTGCAGGGTGTGGGCAGAGGGCGTGGCCGCCATGGCACTGCTGGGCTGCTTGGGCAATCTGCGGTGGGCCCTAGAGGCGGTGAGTGGCCCTGCAGGCAGGCAGGGTGGGGCGGAGCAGGGAGTGGAGCAGGGGCAGGGGCAGTGTTTGGGCACTCGGTCTCTAAAAGGTTCACCATCACTGGTATAGTTTATTAGAGGTCAAGTGCATTGCAGTGTTGCAAAGCCAAAACTGAGAATTGCGCGCCAAAATCCCTACGTTCTTAACAATCTCTCATTGTCCACCCCATTGTAACCAATCAGGTTCAGGCAAGATGTTTTCATAACAGTCAGTCCAAGCTGTGGTTTGGTATGGGGCTCCCTCCTTCCAGCTAGGTGACCTTGGGGTAGCTTCTCAAGGAGATACAGCACTTACTTTCGTTTTCCCCAAGCCTTCCACCCTTCATTCCCCCTCCCCACTGTTCATGGCAGTCTGTCACTACATAGCAGCGAAGCACAAGGAAGCCTAAGGTGGCAGCCGACATTATCCTTATACCATCAGCTAGACATACCTTATCGCAAGTTCCCAAACTAGCTGGAAACTCCACATTATGTTGCAATTTGAAATCCAAGATATCTGGAAATCGAGAAAGCTGCTGTTCTTACCCAATTTAGTTCTGAAGGCACAGTTCTCTGGCTTCTTTGCTTCTGCAAGCTCCATGGATTAAATCACACGGAGGAAGGGAAAGAATGACCAACATAGGAAAAGGAACCTAAGTTATAATTATTTTTAACCAGGGAGTTAAAATCCTGCTCTACGTCAAGGGGTGGATGGACATGAATGGAAGGCAAGGCCATTCATTGCAAGATGAGCCAGCTTTAAATGAGTTCTCTTTCCTTCCTGTCCGCTGATTCTAAGCTGCTTAATGATTGTTCCTCCTGCGGATACTTTGCTGTGAGTAATGTAGCAGAAGTCACAAGCCAGCAAAAACCTCTCAAAGCCTCATTTGCCACTGAGAATCTACAATTTCTTCAAGCTTTCTTGCTTAAATGAGATTATTATTATATATTGTGTGGCATGCTCACATCACATTTTGAGAAAAACACAAGAGATAAGAACACAAAATGTGAAACGTAGAATCTAAAATAGTATAAACATGTCTAGCTTACCTGTTTCACTCCAGGTAGCTCAATGTTGGCAGCTGGGAGCTATCAGTAATCTTCAAGTCACTAAATGGATGTAAATCAAGGACTATTTGTATTTGAAAGTCTACCTCTTCCCAAATACATCTACCCGTCCCATCCGGCCTGGCTGATGGCTGAGTTGCCCGTCATTTGGCATGATTCAGAAAGAGAAACTTTTCTGCCACAACCCCCGGCCTCTGGCACATTATTTTCCCCAAAGTATGAGTGGCCCCTATCCTTGCCAACACATGGCCAGCATCTGGCCATGATGAAAACTGGGAAGTTTGGAAATCGCTAAACAGACTGCTCATGGGCACGGCAAGATCAAGAGTTTCCTTGAATAAATGGGGACAGTTGGCAACTTCCTACTGTGAATATGGAGATTTGTAGACCTCATGACAGCACAACAGAATGCGATCGATGTTACATGCTTCAGGGCAAGCGCACCTAAATTAAGCTTTTACACAATTTAAATTTTATGTTCAGATGTTTGTATTTATAAAGGTCAAGGTTTTCCCTGTCCAGTCATGTCCAACTCTAGGGCACGGTGCTCATCTCCGTTTCCTAGCCAAGGGAGCCAGTGTTGTGATTTCTCGCCAGCCAGTGGACCCGGCAGCTGAGTCTGGGGAATCAGAGGAGGAGGAGGAAGGGCCTGGAGTGACATCAGAGTCAGAGGAAGGCTCTGAGGAGCTCCAAGTCTTAACAGTCTGATGAGGAGCCTGGCCCCTCTACTCACGCTCAGGCTGAGACACAGCTGTGCTGGGAGTCTGAGTTGGACAGTGATAACTCACAGCTGGAAGATATCCAGGATGCACGTAAACGCCGGCAAGCCAAGAGAGTCGGACAGAGGAATGCAATGGGGCGGCTCCAAAGGCAAAGGAGAAGGCATTAGGAAGCCACGCCTTGGCTGCATAATAAAAGGGAAGATGTGGGAGGTGCTGGTTGCTGAAGGCAACCGTTTGTGTTAAGGAATCAAGTTTCAGTGAACTGTGTTTTGTTTGCCTTTGGACATTTACTCAGGTCTGTGAATAATAGAAGGGGATTGGTTTTTTCCTGCGGTTCCAGACTACTTGTTGGAGGAGGGGTTTCTCCTTGTGAGCCTAACAAAGACTCACGTAGGCTGGGACAGAACAGCCAGCATTGTCCAAAGACACTTTCTCTGGTCATGTGGCCAGCATGACTGTATGCCGAGGTGCAGGGAACTCTGTTAACTTCCAACCAAAGTGGTACCTATTTATCTACTTGCATTTGCATGCTTTCGAACTGGTAGGTGTGCAGGAACTGGGCCAAGGAATGGGAGCTCACCCCATCACACAGCACACGGGTCTCAAACGTGGGTTGTCAGCTGACAAACTGAGCATCTTTAAGTGCTGAGCCAGCTCCCCTCTGTTTGTATTTATATCTACATATAAAATTATAATAATGATGCTTCTGACCCAAACAAATAAATAAAAAAAAACCCGCCAGCCTTTCAGAAGACCCTGAAAAATTGGATGTATCATCAGATCTGGGAATATGAAGGAAATATGGAGATTATTAAATGGTTATATTATATATAGTTAGAGTGCACCTTCCTCTGTTTTTTTTTCCACAATTGCGATTTTAAATGCAGCTTTTGATTTATTTATTTTTTTAAAAAACCCTTCTTTTTAATAGTAGAAAACTTGGGTTTTATTTGTGTTTTAACTATGCAAGGCCGCCCAGAATCCCAGGCAAGTGAGATGGTTGGCCATATAAATTTAATAAATAAAATAAAACACCACTAGAAACAGAGGTTCTTCATTACAGCATTTGCAGGAATCATCTAAGGCTACCCATTTCTATTTTGGGTCTGTTTGTTTACAGACTATTTTTATACCTTCCTATCTCAGCTGCTGGGTTTGTGTATGGTGGGAATCTAAAGGTTCAACATTGCTTGAAACTTTCTACCCTGTTCCTTTTCTTTCTCTTGCTGCTGATTCATCCAAACTCTCTTAGGAGGAAAGTAGCCACAGTTGGGTGTTGGCTTAACTATTATTTAAGTCCAAAGGGTCTCCCCACCCCTTTCCTGGTTGATAGCCCAACATTCTGATATCTCCAAGCTGCTGTTTTAACTTTGAGGGTTCCATGGATGGTTTTAATTTGTTTATATTTTTAGCAATGGGATGTTTTCCACTGTACCATTTGTACAGACCTTTTGCCTACATGCCTGTTCATCCACTGCTCTGGGAGAGAGCTTCACTTCTGCAATATGTGGGGTGATGATCTTTTCCAAAATTGTGTAATTAAAGAGTCACGTGCCCCTTTCTCCCAAAAAAAGTTATGACTCTTCATTCAGGAAAACGATGGGAACTCGGTGGACCTTGACCTAAACTCAGAACTTTCAACCTAACCAAGCATGCAGGGAAAGATTCTTGAATCTAAAACTGCATTTATCAGAACAAATGTTTATGGAGATTCTCAAATCATCCAGTTCATGGTGGTCCCAAAGTTGCTTTCCCAAAAGGCAACTGAATTTTCTTGGGTTTTTTTTTTTCCTTGAAAACGTTTCGCTTCTCATCCAGTTAACTTCTTCGGTTCAGAAAGGATGAGAAGCAAAATGTTTTCAAGGAAAAAAATGCAAGAAAGTTCAGTTGCCTTTTCAGAACAACCATAGAAACAACATCTTGTAAGTCTGAATGTGCCTTCCTTCCTCTTTCTTTTAACTTGATGAGAATTAAGGGGAGTGGGGTACTTTCCGAAGCACAAACCGCTTTCTTGGTCTGGAGCCAAGCCATGTTTATCTGATGATTGCCTTGGAAATAGATCATTCCTCTGTCCTTCTACACTCTCTACGGCTCATTACAGAGGCAAAATGAGGGTCAGCAGTGAAGGTGCCCCAAATTACACCAGCAGAATTTTTTTTTGGTGGCTTACAGGAGAAAAGCCCTAACTCTGTAGGATCTCTGGATACTTTCACATTCCTTGACCATCCCAGAGCAAAAGAAACTCAAAAGAAAAAAAAATATGAGCATATTCATAAGCGCCTTTTGCACACTTGAGGAAGACGCAAGCTGTGGGAGATATTCCAATGATACAGTAGTTCCTGGAACATTTGAATTTAGGGGATCAAAGCAATTTGGATTGGGGATAGCTCTTACTTAAGGCTGTTATCTTCAAGGGTCAATCCTGCAAGAATCAGAAGACTTAGGGCAGAAATAGCACATCTGGACTGCAAAAATTCGGACAGCCACTAAAGGAGAAGGGGAGAAGAGAATTCATATTATGTGTTTCTTTTTTTAGAGGTGTCTTAATATTTCCTTCTGAATTTTTGCATCCCAAATCTGGTAGACCTCAAATGCTCAGGGAGACACATGCTCAACAGTTTAAATTAACATTGACTGCCAAGAAAAGAATAAACTGGAACTTGATCCTAATTGTTTCTAGCCACATGACAATTTTCCTTTTGTCATTTCCCTTTTCAGAAGTCACAGTTAGCTATTCAGCCCAACAAGGGTGGGATGGAAATCTTTCTAAAGAAGTGGTCACGATTTTTTTTGCATTTGGTAAAGTGATGTTTTTCCACCCGATAAATTAAAAAGCAAACAAACCCTGAAGATCTTAATGATTACAGTAATATAAAACAGGAGATTTTTTTTAAATTAAAGAGTGAACTGCGGCCGTTCCTGGTAACAAGCAGTCTTTCTGAAGAAAAGAGCTAAGCCTCGCTGCTCAGTTGATTTCCTTGGCAGGAAAACCTTGTTTTTCACTTTAAATGTATGATAGGGGTGCAGTTATTTAAGGGTGGGACTGACTGCTGATTTGCAAAGGCTTCAGAAGGGCCAAAACCCACTTCTGTGTATCCAATAACTGAATTCTTTCCTGCAAACTCACTTTGAAATAAAGGACACAAGGATGCCCCAGTTTGCAGCTTTCTACCCGCTCTAGACTTTAGGAGGACAGCCTTACCTCATAGCAGTTTGCATTCCTTCAAGTGATGATGACCGCAGAAAAGCACAAAGGCAACAGAAGCTTCCTTCGAACGTTGATGTTTTGCTCATTTCGGTCACAAGATTTCTCATGCAGTTTCAACCTCTTTGTGATAATTTCCAAGGCTGAGCAGGCTCTCAAAAGGTTTTTCCAAAAAGACGAGGGAAGGTCCAGAGCTGTGATTGTACTGAGAGGAAATCCTGGATCTCGTTTCTCTGCCCCACTTAAAATACAGCCACAGCTTTCTGGAGAGACGCCAAAATAACCGATGACATCACAATGATAGCGGAGCCTTAAAAAAACTGCCCTCTTCTTCACAAAACTTTGTGGTGCCTGCCTTTTTTTTGCTTTATTTCTTTTAACTTTTTTAGCCATACATTTTATTAAACGCGTTAAAGAGAGCATGAAAACGAACACAGTCTAATGCAGAATAAAGAACAAAAAAAGGGAAAAAAACAGGAAGTGCGGAAAGAAAGCACAACAAGAAATAGTTTATCAATTGATTAGTGTTATGACCATATCAAAAAATAGAAAACAAAAATAAAATACCGATAGTCCTCGACGTATATGATCGCAGCTGAGCCCAAAATTTCTGTGGCTAATTGAGACAGTTGTTAAGTGATTTCACCCCGTTTTATGATCTTTCTCGGCACAGTTGTTAAGTGAATCACTGCAGTTGTTAAGGTAGTGACACGGGGGTTGAGAGAATCTGTCTTCCCCATTGGTTTTGCTTGTGAGGAGGTCGCAAAAGGAGGATCCGGTGACCCAGGGACACGGCAACTGTCATAAATAGGAGTCAGTTGCCAAGCGTCTGAAATTTTGATCACGTCACCAAGGGGATGCTGCAATGGACATAAGTTGAACAAATCGTCCTAAGTCTTTTTTTTTCACAAAAGGAACGGTTGTAAATTGAGGACCACCTTGTACAGGATATAAATCCAGGATAAAATAGATAAAAATACATTATTGTTAAGTACAAAGAATCAGCATTCAGGTAAATACATTGTCTTTACAGAATACCTCATTCTGTTCTCTACAGTGGGTCCTTTGGTGATTAATGTAAGTAATCTCAAAAAATACAGGATAAATGGTATAGATAGAAGAATGAAAAAGTAGACAGCTCCTTTTTGACAACATAAGGGTCTATAATATCCCTGAAACAATTATATTAATTATATTGCTATATTTAGATATAGAATAATAGCAGGAACTGTAGCAGAAAGTAATGTAACCTGACAAAGGACTAAATACAGAAGGCATCTCACACACGTTCTGGAATATTTCAGATAGTCAACATTACATATCTGGTTAGACTCTAGAAAATGAAACCAGGAAAAGTAAAATCAGAAATTGTTTTGAAAGCTGAACTCTTTCTCAGTCTGTTGAAATGGCTATTTTAACCAGAATGTCACAATAAAAATCTTAACATCCTGTAAGATGTGTTTTGATCCAGGGCTTGCTGTAAGTAGTTAGATTTAAAGAGAGAGAGATGCTACTGAATGTTTGCTTTTGCTCATATTGTCAAATTATGCTTAATTGATGGCTGGAGAAAACTTAGATTTGCTAAGGACAACAAATCAGTTCCATGCTTAATTTATCTCTATAAGTTTAACACATGTTTCTTGTAATGGTGGAATAGAAGAATAAGAAGAATATCGCCAATATTTTGAAACCTTCCGAAACTTCTTTGTTTATCACGTCCCCATCCTGAAAAATACTGAAGTATATAAACAATATTTTCCCCTGATGGGGCTTTTATTTTCAGTGAAGACAAGGAGAGGGAAAAATCAGGAATATTAGGATTTTTTTCAGTGTTGTAGAGGTAAGCTTTGACATTCTTGATGATTTGCTAATTTTTTTATAGAAAGCAATCAGATTTGTGTT